CTGAGGGAGAAAAGAAACAGCAGGAGGGCAACAGGAAAATACGGGTGAGGACAGGGAAGCAGTGAGATGGAGAAGAACAGTATGTAGTCACACATACACACACACACACACACACACATATACATATATATATATAAATGAAATTGTCATAATAAAACCCACTACTTTGTATATTAAAAAGGAAAAATAGCTAGGTATGGTGGCATTTGGGACGCAGGGGCAGGAAGATCTCTGTGAGTTTGAGGCCAACATCGTCTACATAGTGAGCTCCAGGGCAGCCAGGACTAAATAGACCCTGACTCAAAGAAAAGAAAAAAAATCTGTAACCATAAGTACAAAGAAAATCTTACTGGAATAAGCACAGCCACAATTGCTTTCTTATGAGTTATATGTGATTGCTTTTGGGTTGCGATAATGAAGTTGAAGACTTGTGATAGATACCTTTAAAAAAAAAAAAAAAAAAAACACCTAAAATACTTAGTATTAGACCTTAACAGGAAGCTTACTGATGTTTACTATAAACTTGTACTCTAACACTGAGTTAAATTCTCAGTCCCCTGGGGAAATTTTTTTTCAATGGAACATAATACAACAATGAGATTTAATTAAGCATAGCTATTAATGTCACAAACATGGAGAAAACTCATAAGTTGAGTGCAAAACAAAGCGTGCTGCAGAAAAGTATTGAATGATGTTTTTCTAGGCAATACTGTACATTGTTTAGGGACACAATGAAGCCGTGTAGCTATGCACGGGAATTAACTATGACATTTATAAAAATGCTTACTTTGCAGGGAGAGGAAGAAGGAAAGAATGGGGAGAAAGACAAAGAGAACTTCAACCATATTTGTAACATTTTATTTCACAAGTGGCTTGCTGTAAATTCACATTTGTTGTAAATCAGAGATATTTCATAAAAAACAAAGGTCTGTATAAAGATTTTGAGTCTGTGAATAATTTCAGCACTGGTTGAGTTGAGAGCCCGTACTGTTTCAGTTTTGTTTTGTGTTTTATGCTTAATAGTGCACCTTGGACCTTTATCTAGCATGTGTGTGTGTGTGTGTATATATATCGTTCAGGTCCATTTTATGAGTGTCAGGGTAGTGGGGTGATGTGGCCAAAATCCAGCTCGTCTACCAGTCAGTCCTGTGCCCCTTGCACAAGGGCACCAAAGTGAACATCACTAGAAGGGTGCTTCCTTCACTCCCAATACCCCCACAGGGCGAGGCCACCAGGCCACACATTTTTCTTTCCTTTTAAGGCAGCCCCCCTGTGTAGCCCAAGCTGGATTTGACTTTATGATTCTCTAGCTTCCACTTCTATAGGGCTAGAATTACAGTGTGTACCAGCACAGCCATGTCACAGGCTGCAGCCCTTCCCTCCCTGTGGGTGCTACAAATGTACCCATCTGTGGCCATGAGAGAAGCGCCTGTCTTCCCAGACGCTAGGAAGCTGTCCTTTTGCTTGCCACCAAAATTGTGCTTGGGTTATCACGACGTCTCCCCTTTGTGCTTGTAGCTGAGGTAAAAACTGACCATTTTCTCTAGCTATTTGGGACAGCACACTGGAAACTGTATCTCCTTGTTTCATTCTGTTTCTAGCAGGACAACTTGTCCAAGAGGTGGAAATTATAAATTATTCTTAGTGAGACTCACTGATGTAGTAACTGTAGGGCTATAAACCTTTTAATATACTTTTTTTTTTGTTTTTTACATTCCTGTCAAAGTCTTTTGTGATCTTTTGTCTCTTTGTCTAAGTGCAGACATGATTTTTTTTCAATTTCCTCATTTCTTAAGCAATAAAAATGTGTTCTTTAATAAAATCCACACCTCTCTTTTTCTGAAAATCTGAGTCTTTGTTTTCACCTAAATTACCAACCACAACAGTTTTTGAAAGTGGTTTTATGAACCACCTGCACCAATTGCCTTTCCTGGTCATCAGAATGCCAATGCCTGGCCCTGTCCAGCCACAGTGCATTATATATTTTTTTTAATTTTTAAAATTTATGTTTTTTAATTAATTACAAATTATTCACTTTGTATCCCAGCTGTAGCCCTCTCCCTTGTCTTCTCCCAACCCCACCCTCCCTCCCTCATCTCTTCCCATGCACCTTCCCCAGTCCACTGATAGGGGAGGACCTCCTCCCCTTCCATCTGACCCTAGTCTATCAGGTCTCATCAGGACTAGCTGCATTGTCCTTCTCTGTGGCCTAGTAAGGCAGCTCCCCCCTCATCAGTAGCTGACCAAAGAGCTTCCCACTGAGTTCATGTCAGAGATAGCCTCTGTTTCCCCTACTAGGAGACCTAGTTGGAGACTGAGCTGTCATGGAGTATATCCATGCTGGGATTCTAGATTATCTCCATGCATGATCCTTGGTTGGAGTATCTGTCTCAGAAAAGACCTCTGGGCCCAGACTTTTTGGTTCTGTTGCTTTCCTTGTGGAGCTCCTGTCACCTCCAGATCTTTCTATCTCCCCCTTCCTTCATAAGATTCCCTGCACTCTGACCAAAATATGCTCAAGTATACAACAATGACATTTGCTCAACCATGTTAGTAGCAGCTTTATTTGTAATAGCCAGACTCTGGAAACAACCAACATGTTCCTCAACTGAGGACCAGATACAGAAATTGTGGTACATCTACACAATGGAATACTACTCCGCAATTAAAAACAAGGAAATCATGAAATTTGCAGGCAAATGGTGAGAACTAGAAAAGATCATTCAGAGTGAGATATACCAGAAGCAGAAAGACACACAGAGAATATACTCACTTATAAGCAGATATTAGACATATAATATAGGATAAACATACTAAAATCTGTATTCCTAAAGAAGCTAAGCAAGAAGGAGGACCCTGGGTAAGATGATCAATCCTCATTCAGAATGGCAAATAGGATAGATATCAGAAGAGGGAGAAAACAGAGAACAGGCCAGGAGCCTACCACAGAGGGCCTCTGAAAGACTCTACCCAGCAGGGAATTAAAGCAGATGCTGAGACTCATAGCCGTTACTCTGTTTGTAAATTTTCCTGCACATGTGATTTTTATAACTACTGAACTTTGAAAAACACTTTGTTTTTATTTGTGTTTTGCCTGCATGTCTGTGTTTACCATATACATGTGTGTGCCTGATTCTCATGGAGGCCGGAAGGATGTCAGATGCCCTGGACCTGGAGTGACAGACAGTTGTGAGCACCATGTGAATGCTTGAAATGGAACCCCTGTCCTCTGCAGGAGCAGCCAGTTTTGTTAGCCACTGAGCCATCTCCCCAGCCAGTTTGAAACACTTCTTTACAGAGAGAAGTGGAGAGAGAGAGAGAGAGAGGGAGAGAGAGAGAGGAAGCTGAAGCAGGAGGATGGTGAGTTGAGGTCAGCCTGGGTTACATAGCAAGATGCTGTAAATAAATAAATTATTCATCAGAAATGGAAGCAACCAGCAAAGTTTATAGTTATCTTAATACAGCAGGTGTATCTTAGGAGGAGAAATTGTGCTTTTAAGAAAGAAGAGTTCAAAGTATCAATTAGAATTGTACTTTTTTCCCCCCTCACTTTGTTTACTTGTGAAAGTTGCTAGAAAGTAATCGAAATGGGAAAACAGAAACAAAAAACAAGCTGGAGGAAGTTTCTGAAATACCAACTAGACCACGATTCAGATGATCTTAGGCAGAACGTGGCACCCAAGAGATTCAGATGCCTTGTGGATGAAGGCAGAGGGCTGCTCATCTTTCTTTTTAAAGTTCTCTTTCAACCTTAGAGTAAGGAAATACATCATTCTTAAAACTTGTATTATTGATTCACTCACATGTTTATAGTATCCAGATCCAACCTGGCTTTATCATATTATTAATTTGCATTCATTTTTGGACGTAGAGATGGTGGTTTTTTTTTTTTTTCCCCCTTTTGATTAGTCGTCTAGGTCTTCGTTAATTTATTTAATTTATTTACATTTTTTTTTATTTGCATGAGATGGCTAGTTAACTTTATATTATAACGGGTTCACTGAGACTGTCTACAATATAGGAGTAAAACAACCCAAAGGCATAGCAGAAAGCAAGAAAGAAAGCACTGAGAAAGCTGAAACTTTTTTTTTTTTTTTTTTTTTTGTACAAAGATTATGTGGGTCTTAGGCCAGAGGGAAAGAAAAAGCCCAGGAAAAGGAAGGAATGTTGGTAGTTAACACACAAGTTGTGTCTGGTGTCTCAAGGGCAGTCAACTGGCACTCAAATGTTCTCCTCCAGTGCTCGGAAACGTCACCCCTCCTTGGACTCTTTAAAGAGAGAAAGAGGTCTGATTTGTGCCATGGATGATTAATCGCTAATTTAGCTCCCAAGTGTGAGTGAAAACGGATACTAAGATCTCAGAGGTGAAGTGAGATACGGGTAAGGGGTCACAATGTTTTAATTTAGTGCCCTTCGGCGCTCGGCTGAAACTCGAAAAATCTGGGTCAGATAGAAAAGTTTCCCTCTCCCTTTCGAAATTTCCTTCGCACACACCTCCCCCCCCCAAAAAAAAAAAAAAAAAAAAAAAAGCTTGCCCTTGCCCTTAGGAGCTGCGGAGAGTCATTTGAAACGACTGGAGGCTGGAGGCGAGGTTTACTTTTCAGGTCATCCAATTTGGGGGATCCAGTTTCTGCGGAGGGAAGAAAAAGGCCGGGTGGGGGAGGGAAACAGCAGACTCCTCATCTTCCCACCCGTCTACCTTCAATCCACAACCTGACACGCACGTCCAGCCCAGTCCGGGCTTTACTTGAACCTCCACCACCAGCAGCCGCCGCCGCCGCCGCCGCCGCAGCACCAGCCGCAGCACCACCTTGTCACTCACTCTGGAGAGACACGCCCCTCTACTCTTGACCAATAGCGGCCCTCCTGCCTGCATAGTAATAAGCTCGAGACCTCCCCCGGCCAATGGCGCTCCGGGAGAGGGGTTAGTTTTGCATGTACCTAAGTGATTTGCATAACCCGGCGGCCGGGGGCTCCCGAGGCGAGCGTGCAACCCTAGAAGGGAAAAGGACGCGCCGAGCGGGAGCCGCGGCTGGGAAGAGCGCGGACCGGCCGGGGTGTTTGGGAGAGCCGGGGCGGGGGCTGGGGGGGCGTCGGGCCGGCATGGCTGGAGACTGCGCCCCGCAACCTTGAGGAGCCGCGCGGCTGGAGGAGGCCCGGGACGAGAAGGCGGCGGCGATGGCAGCGCGCGGCCCCGGCAGCTGCTCAGGGCCGGGTCGGCTGGCCTGAGCCAGCGAGCCGCGGGGCTGCCGGCCGTGCTCGTCCCATGGAGCAGCGGGAAGGGAGGAACTGCGGAGCGCCGCGTCCCAGCGCTGCGGCGGCGGCGGCGGCGGCGGACTGCTGAAGGATAGGCGAGCGCACGCGGACCGCCGGGGGTCGGCGCCCGGGCCCCCCGAGCCCCGCAGGCCGGCTGCCCCCGGGGGTGGCGCGGGGACGGCGGAGGGCGAGCGAGAGGCGCCTCGGGAGAGGCGAGCGCGGGCGGCGGCCGCCGCTGCAGCTATGCCGGGCCCGCTGCGGCTGCTCTGCTTCCTCGCCCTGGGGCTGCTCGGCTCGGCCGGGCCCAGCGGCGCGGCGCCTCCTCTCTGCGCTGCGCCCTGCAGCTGCGACGGCGACCGTCGGGTGGACTGCTCCGGGAAGGGGCTGACGGCCGTCCCGGAGGGGCTCAGCGCCTTCACCCAAGCGCTGTGAGTGCGGGGCCGACCGGGCTTGCGGGCGGGGTGCACGGTTCACCTGTGGTGTGTGTGTGTGTGTGTGTGTGTGTGTGTGTGTGTGTGTGTGTGTGTGTGTGTGTGGCGGGGGGAAGGTCGGGGCAGTTGGCATTGCCACCCATTCCCGAACGGTGCCCTTTGCAGGCTTAGGCAGTTTGGATCTGAGCTTCGAGGCGCTTTCTCTTTCCCAGACTTTTGGGGTGCAGTTGCCACCCCATTCCCATCTCAGATCCCAAGAGTGTGTATCCGGGGCCAGGAAGGAGGGAGGGCGCTGGAAATGCGCTCCTTGGCAGCCTTTCACGCGACCTCTTCCCCGATGCGGCCCCCGGTTCGGCTGGCAAAACTTTGGCCACGGGTGAGGGCGCCTAGAACTTGGCCTGCGTTTGCCGACCAGGCGCGTTCCGTGGGGGAAGCACCTGGATACCCCCAGGGTTCCCGCCGGCGGAGAGAAGAAACACCTGTACCTTAGAAGGTGAATGGACTTCCAGTTTGGCATTTCCTGCCTGTGCGGTGTGGCACCGTAGCCCAGATCCACTCGGGACCCATTACCACACGCCAGGCCAAGGGAGGAGGAGGAGGATTCAGCCTTCTCTGGGCGGGAATCCTCTTACAGAATCAGGCATTTTGAAGAAGAAATGGTGACCGGAGGTAGAGAATGTTGGGAGAGAAAGTTCCGGAGCATAAGTTCAGAGCGGTCTGTAAGGTGGGCAGCTGTTTTCTGCCTATACCTTCAGCAGCAGAGCTGCCAAGAGTCACACAAATGGTTCTTCTGCCCCTCCACGCCTCTTTCCTCAGAGACCTCCCCCCCCCCCCACCCCGAGAGCTTTCAACCTCTCAGGAAAGAGGAGGAATCCTAAAATAGGTGTTGGAGGTGGTATTGGCAAATGCCACCAATAGAAAAAGAACACGGTAATTGAGCAGAGGGCAGCCCCTGTGCCCCTTTCATCCTTCTCATGTTGTGTGGCCTATGGCATGATTAAATCAGGAGCAGTGAAAGGGCTGTTAGGGAGGAAGGGGCCCGAGAGGCCCTCCGAGAGGCCCTCCGGCAAGGGAAACTTCCTTTTTACCTTCGAGCTACCAGATGTAAAGGAAGAACAGATCCCGTGGAGGGAAAACTCCCTTTCAGGCAGGCCTGGGCTTTGCTGTACTTCCAGATGGGTGGTGACGGGCCTTCAGCTCTCTCCCGTTGGGGGATAGTGAGGATTGAGGACTGGGGCTTTGCAACCCTGCTCTTTGTTTTTGCCTCAGCCTTAGGTGTTGCATTCTTGGAAAGACCTTTTCTTTCAACATGACATTTAGCTTTTCACCGAAAAAGTTAACTTTGAAGCGTGAAGCGTTTTGCTTACACAGGTATATTAAGTGGCAAAGTTTCAGCAGGGTTGGCAAGTGAGGAGGTAGGGTTTTCCTCTTAATCGAAACTCTTTGGAAACATTCAGAGACTTCAGTCAGAGAGGCGACTTTACCTGAGCCATTTAGAAGGCTTTATATAATAATAGTTTAACAACGAGGATTTCGCTCTTTGTTCCCCAAACTTTTAACAAATAGACTTGTCCCATAAGGAAAAGGGCCTGTTTTATGTAGTACCTAAAGCCAGAGAGTAATGGCATAATTTTACGGGAGAACGTTCCTCTAGACGGTGTCACACAACTTGAAGATCTCACTGGAGACAATGAAACACCCTATCTTCAACATGGAGCCTTAGGGAAGTTACTGTGCACAGATAACATTTTTCTGAGCTGCCGTAGTGGTCAAACGGGATCGGTGTCTTTGTGATCAATAGAGGGATTACGCATTCAGAGGTGCAGTTTTCCCCAGGGCTCCTCCTTTCACCCTCAGGAGGATAAATGTCACATATATGACCACTCTCTCTTTAAGGGTTTTGAAGGGCAGTGTGTTTGCATTTAACACGAGGAAACCAGCTGACTCCCGAGCTTTGTCTGAGGAGGGGCAGGTGCCTCAGGTCTGCGCTCTATTTGCTCTCACTGGACAGCTTAGGATCACCAGGGGCTTCCATTCTGAGGTACCATTGCACTGTTCCTGAGCCATAGTTTACACTGAGAGTAAGCCCACAAGTCTCTAAGCTTTTGTTTATGTATTCCTAATTTCTGGATCTCATCATTTGTGAAACTGCAAACAAACAAACAAAAAAAAAAAACCAGAAGCTTAAAGTGACATTGTAGTGCTCAACGCTCTTTCTCATTGCTCAGCGACTTGTCCAGTTATGGGACTTTCTCCAACCTCTGAGATATGTGCACAGATCACCTTGGAAACCACAGGGCCGACTGAGAACAGGGATTTTATTTGACTCGGTCCACAGAGCCTGGTACACTGGAAAAATTAAAAAATTCTGGAGTGAGTAAATAAGCACATAGGACCGCACTGAAGCACTTCAGCTCTAGACACCATGCCCACGAAGGTTTTCCAAACTTGGCATCTCTCATTTAGCCTTTTGTCCAGAAATGAGAGGGCCCCAGAGGGAACATGCCTGGCTGCTCCTACTTTAGGCTGGCTTAAACTTGTTCAGCTAAACTGTCTATTTCCTGCTGGGTGTTACCTTATCGGACCTGGAGGACAGAAGGAGATATAATCCCCAGTATCTTCATGGGGTCCTACCTGATTTCTTACCATCTGTTTTTCAGAACAGCTATTTTGAATCCTATGCCACAGTGTAGTAATCATTTCATTTTATTTGTCAAAAAGGATTCGAATTTATCCCTAAGGTAGTGTTGATAAAGAAATTAATCACCCACATTCCAAGGCTGAGGGAGAAAGAGAGGAAATGACAACCTTAGTGTGTAGTGGGGTTTTCAGTTTTTATTTTCTGGTTCGTGTGTTTCTGCAATGAAGTTTAAGAACTATAGACTTGGGACACAAACTTTCATATTCATACAACATAAGGTTAAGATGATGAAGTCTGTTTTTGTGGCTTCCCAGGCAGCAAGGTAGATCTGAGCCTTTGATCATCCTCCTTACCTCACCACTGAGTAATTGTGTGGCCTTGGGCAAGTCACATCATCTTGAAGTGTGTGCGATCTCCTTATCTGAAAAAAATAAAGTAATTGCATTCCCTAGATTATCTCTGAGCTGCTTCTTCCATCTAGAAGTTGGGTGATTTTACAAGTCTCACTCGACTTGAGGGCAGTGAAGTGACAGCAATGTCAGAATGACCTCATGAAACGATCTCAGGAGCAGCCGAACATTCTTCCAGCTAAAGCTGCATAAGCCTTTTTATTACCACTCACTTGGAGGAGTTCTTGCCTGTGTTTAGAAGTGTGTGTTAGGAAATTTTCCATGGAGACTTGTTGCAGAATTCATGAGTAGCAAGGGCACTTTGCTAGGGTAGAATAGCCTTGATTGTTTCCTGTGTGTATGGCTTAACACTTGGAAAAGAAAATCACTCTTTCACTAATTTGGATACAGTACAAAAAGTTAGTCAATGTCCTCCTTCCCATGTAATTAGTCATAACCCAAACCTTCACAGTGGATATTCTGTACCTGAGCAGATTATCAAGCCCTTCTTATGAACTGATGGTTACCTAAAGGGCTTTGAAGTACTATTTCAAGAACCAGTTGCTTTTTCTTTTTTAATTGGTATCATCTTCGATTCTTCTCCAAGGTGTGTTTTCTTCAGTGTATCACACACTTTTTTTTTTTTTCCACAGATATCAGTTGAAAGTACTTTCTCTCTCTACTTCCAGTGCCTACTGTGTATTCCATAACAGGTCAGGTCAATAATCAGTTGTCTGAATGTTAATACTTTATCATAGTAAAATTTAATAACTTTTTGATTTCCTAATTCTCCAAAAATGTCATTGCTAGTAGAGTGTCTGTCTAGAGATGTATTAGTCTTACACAAACGTGTACCTTAAAGCAAGGTCGATATATTAACATCTTTCAGTTTGGATCCTTTGTTTTTCAAACTAGTAGACCACTGTGTTCTCTAGCTACCCAAGAGGAAAGAACATTGTATGGGAAAGATGGGATCTGGGTTCCAGATCTGTCCGTGATTCTCTGGAGTATCCTTGAGTGAGTCATACAGCTAAGCCTTTAGGGCCTTAATTTCTATAGTCTGGAAAACAGCGATGTCAATGACTCCTGTTGACCTTGCATGTGCTAGGCAAGCACGCTGCCACAGAGCTGTGTCCGTTAGCTCTGAATTTTAATCTTTACACATTTCTCAAGTCAGCTGTGTGAGGGAAGCAATGGGAACTCTCTCATCTACCCCGTAGATCCTACAGTTGTCCAGTTCAACTGGAGCACTTCTGTGGAGTGGGGCATCCATATCTTCCCAGGCAGTGCCCTGTGAGATGTTGCCTGGACACCATGGAGAATTTATACCAGGGATTTACTGATTCTGCACTTCTTAAGACTTGCTGTAACCAGTAATAGTTCATGATTTCCAGTTTAACTGAATGCTGTGCCAGTTTTAGTGTCACAAGTATTTACTGTCCAAGTACTTGGCTCTCAGCATTAGAATTGTAAGGTAACATTTGACAGCTTAATCTCTCAGGAAAGATCAAAGATCTCTCTTAGTAGGTGGATCCAGACAAGTTTAGGCATTTTCTTGGCCTCTGCCTTTGTCAGTGTGTCTCTCAGATTTGTATTTTAGTCATCTTTATAATGGTAGAATGAACTGACAGCCTGCTAGTTTGGATTTTAGTTTCTGGTCTCCTTGATTGTGCTTATTCTATTCATGTCTCTCTGTGTGTGTGTGTGTATGTGCTTGTGTGTTAGTAATGAGTATTAAACTAGATGGTATCTTCTGCAACTACCTTGGATTTCTTTGAATCCTTGTAAAACATAAAGTTGTAAGAATCATTTGGTGAGTCATAGAATCTAAGGCCAACTTTTACTTTTGTCTCCATAAACATGTAATGCAAGTATTGAAAAAGTAAGGAATTAATTGGTTCTTATACCTTGGAACAAATTCATGCCAACAAAAATACTTGATTGTTTTGTTAATATAATAGTTTAAA